CAGGAGAAGCTCGGCCTGCGCCACTCGGAGGGCGCGCGCGTCCAGGCCGAGGTGTCGCGCGTCCTCGACCGCGTCGGCCGCCGCGACGAGGCGCTCGAGTTCATCCGCGAGGCGCACGAGGTGCTCGAGGCGCTCGAGGGGCCCAACAGCCCGGACACGCTCGACGCCGCCGTCGCCCTCGCGCTGACGCTCGTGGAGTTCGAGCTCGCGAAGGAGGCGGAGCCGATCCTCGCGCGCGTCTACGGCGCGCAGGCGCGCGACTACGGCGAGATGCACTCCTACACGCTGTCGACGCTGTCCCACCTCGTGCCGTTGCGCATCTTCCGGGGCTGCGTCGACGAGGCCATGCCGTCCATCGAGCAGGCCGTCCGGGGGTGGACGCGGCTCCACGGGCCCCGCGACCGGCGCGTGCTCACGTCGCAGACGTGGCAGGCGCTCGTCCTGGGCCTCGAGGAGAAGCTCGTCGAGGCCTGCGACCTCGCGAGGAACGCCTTCGACGTCTTCGTCGAGACGTTCCTCGCGGGGACGCCGGACGCGCTCCTGCCCGCGGCGATGAAGGGCGTGCTCCTCCAGGCGACGGGCGCGTCCGACAAGGACGTCCACGCCCACCTCGGCGTCGCCGTGGCCCACTGCGGCTACGCACCCTTCCTCGCCCAGCTCAGCGACCTCAAGGCGAAGCTGGTCCCCATCACGGGCGAGTTCCACGCCTTCGCCAAGGCCCTCAAGGCCCAGGTCGAGTACGTCGAGAACGCCGAGGACCTCCGGCCACCGCCGGAAACCGCGCCGGCCCCGGAGAGCCCCGCGCCGGAGTAGTACTAACGGCCATCCGCGCCAGCCGCGCGCGTCGCGCGCGGGAGGCGCGCGCGCCGTCCAGGCGGGTCATCTGCGCGCGTCGCGCGCCGCCCTCGAGCGCGCCCAGGAATCCCGCGTCATCGGTACGGGCATGTGGCCGCCGGCGTTCGTCGTGCTCGCGTGGAACACGATGATGTCGGCGTAGGGTTCGTGCACGCCCGGAAAGCCCTCGCGGAGCTTCGCCTCGACGTGTTCCACGTGCTGCGTGAGCCCCTGACCGAGCATCACGGACACCGCCGTGAGGCCGTGGAGTGCGAGATCTCGGACGAAGCAACCGATGCGCGCCGGCGCCCGTTCGAGCGCTTTCGGAGACGCGTGTCCCTGCGGCGGCTGGTCGACGACGTCGCCGCCCTCCGTATCTACCACGGACCATTCCATGCACGTGATCTCGCGGCCGATCGGCACGCTGCCGAAAACGAGCGACATCATGAGCAGCTGCCCGCCGCAGTACGGCACGAGAGACGCGCGCGCTTCCACCTTCTTGACGTCGTCGTCGGCCATCGCCTCGACGACCCGCTCGGCGGCCGCCGCGAATCGCGGAGGGCAGTAGACCAGACGAGCTCGTTCCAGCGTGATCCACCCGACCTGGATGAGCGCGAGCGATTCGCTGGGGTATCCCGCGGCGAGCTTCTCGTAGTCGCGGATCTCATCTTCGATCTCCTTCGCTTCGTCGCGCCGGCCGAGCTGTCGCAAGGCTTTCATTTCGCGGCGGTGCGCCCTCACGAACGAGGGGTCGGCCTCGGTGGCCTTGCGGGCGCTCTCCAACGCCTCCTGCGCGTCGCCCGCGCCCAGGCACGCCGCCGCGTGGTTGCTCCAGGCGATCCCGGCGCCCTTGTTTGGATACTTGGCCTTCATCGTCTTCCCGTCGCCGACGTCGAGCGACCGTTCCAGGGGCTTATCCGGCGCCAAAAAGGAGAGGATCTCGGTGGTCAGCTCGACGGTGTGCACGACGCGATCCGGCGCCGACTCCTCGGGCCACGTTTGGAGCGCGTCGAACAGCGCTTGCATGACGCCGTTGTCAAAGTCGAACGGGCTCTCCGCGAGGAGCGCCGCCGAGCGGTAAAGCTCCGCCGCCTCCCGGAACGCTCGCTTCTGATAGAGCGCGTTGCCCAGCTCCTTCTGCTTCTCCCACGACTTATCCGCCGTGCGCGCCCGGTCCTCGGCGACGTGAAACTGAAAAAACTGCCGGCCTCCGTTGAGTTCCTGATGGGGTGAGAACGCTTCGAAAAGGTTGTTAAAGTCCTGCGCCATGCCCGCGAGCACCCGATCAAACATGGGGTTCCCCGTCGCCATCGCGGCACCTCCCTGGCTCTCGTGGAGGCAGGCGCGAAGGCGGTGTGCGTAGGCGGGGTGCCGCCTTGCGCTCGACAGAGACTTTGCGGCAAAGCGCTTGGCGAGCGAACGTCAGGTCGGCGCGTGGTGCGCGGGGTGGGTCGCCTACTGCGCTAGAGCGAGCCGGTCGACCGCCTCGGCCGGGGAAGACGAGCGGCCACCGAAGTCACATTACCTAAGCCCAATGGCCCGCCTCGACGAGGCCGATGTAGGCCGCGAGCGCGCCCCAGTGGTAGAACGTCGTCCCCGTGCACTCGTTCGGCCAGACCGTCCCGTCGACCTCCGTGCCGTTCTTGTGCGGCAGGTAGTTCTCGCAGATGTGGCCGTGGAGCCGCCACATGTTCACGACCATGGCGCCCATCTGCGCCGCGAGCTCGCCGCGCGCCGCGCGGACGGCCGGGACGTCGTCGTAGGCCGCGAGGCTCCAGTAGGTGAGGAGCGCCATCGGGCCCCAGGTGAAGCCGCGCCAGTAGCCCAGGGCCGGGTAGGCATCGTCGTCCGCGGCGATGGACGGCAGGCCCCAGTAGCAGCGGTCGCCGCGGTTCTTCACGCAAAAGCGGGTTTCGTTCGTGAGCCAGCCGTCCACCAGAGCGGTCGCCCGTGTCAAATCGTCCGAGCCGTCGAGGGACCGCGTGACCATGAGGGGGTAGAAGGACGTCGGCGAGATGCGGCGGGAGAGGCTCGCGTTCGTGAGCACGCGGTTCGCGTAGACGCCGCGGTGCTCGTCCCAGAGGGAGTGGACCGCCTTCGCGTAGGCGTCGCCGCGCGCGCGCAGCGTCCGGGCGTCGCCGGCGCGGCCCGTCCGCTCCGCGAGCGTCGCGAGCGCGTACGCCTCCTGCGCGGCCATGGACGTCATGCCTACGTCCGCGAGCTCCATGAAGCCCGTCTCGCGATCGAAGAAGTCGCAGCCGTCGCCCTGGTCCGCGGTCGCGCAGTCGTACATGGGCGAGTTGTCGAGGCCGCTCTCGTAGCGCGCCTCCTGCATGCCGCCCGGCGCGCCCGTCCGCTCCACCCAGGACCGGAGCTTGTAGAACGGCAGGCCGCCGACCTCCGCGACGCGCGTCCGCAGCACCCAGTCGCTCCAGTCGAGGCAGTCGTCGAAGAGCAGGTCCACGAGCCAGTCGTCGCCGTAGCGGTCGTGGAGCTCGAGGAGCACCTTGGCGCCGACGGGCGGCTCGGACCGGTCCTGGTCCTTGTAGCCGCCGCCGGCGCAGTTCGCGAGGTAGCCCCCGGCGGCCTTGGCCTTGAAGGACTGGATGACGTTCGAGTAGGCGACGGCCTTGCCGAGGTCGTCGCCGCCGCCGCCGGAGACCGCCGCGAGGAGCGACGCGAACAAGTTGTCCCAGTCGAAGATCGCGTAGGAGAAGTCCGGGTCCGCCGGCGGCACGCGACTCCAGGCGCGGGACACGGGCATGAGCACTCCATAACCGTTCTCCGCGGGCGTCGAGATCGCCGTCCACGACGCCGCGGCCTCCACGGCCAGCGCCGCGTCGACGAGCGCGTCGCCGACCTTGTCGTGGGTCCGCGCCCGGTGCGCCGCCCCGCGGTCGACGATCGCGCCGAGGACGGTCGCGGCGTCCTCGGCCGTCGTCGCCAGCGTCACGAAGCCGGAGTCGAGGGGGAGGAACGCGCCCGCGCCCCGGAGCGCCGGCGGCAGCGCGTCCGGCGCGAGGAACGCGCGGGACGCGGCGACGTCGATTCGAGCGAGGCCCGCGGGCGCGAACGTCACGCTCGCGTTCCCGACGGCCACGGACCCCTCGCGCGCCCAGAGGAAGCGGCCGCTCACGCGGAGCGCGAAGTCGGAGCAGTCCCACGCGCCGCAGCCGACGGCGGCGTAGGTCGCCCGGAGCGTCTCGCCGCCGTCGCCGACGGAGAAGGCCACGGAGACGTTGGACAGCGTCGCGTTCATGCCGAAGCTGTACTCGCCGTAGGAGCGGTCGATGGCGTAGGGCCCCGGCCGCACGCGCGCGCCGCAGCGGCTGATGCCGTCGGGCACGGCGACGTCGACGCACGCGCCCGTCGAGAGGCGGCAGAGCGCCGTCGTCAGCGCGACGCCCGCGGGCAGCTTCGTCATCGTGAGCATGTTGCGGTGCCTGCGAAGAGACGGGGTCCGGAACGCGCGAACCGTCGGACGCGGCGGCGCGCAGCATGTGGCCCCAACCCCTGCTCGCGCGCCGCTGCGTGTCGTCGCGGAGCCGCTCGCCGCGCGAGAGCGCCGCGTCGAGCGCCGCGGCGGGGATCGGCGCCAGGGCGGCGCCGCCTTGCCCCCAGAGGACGCGCGCGGACGCGTTGGCGCCGTAGAGGTGCGCGCGGAACGCCACGCTCGCGTTTCTGCGCACGGGCAGCGGGTCGTCGCCCGAGCCCGGCGCGAGATCGTAGGCGCCGGTCTGGCAGACGAGGTGCCCGTCCACCCACACGAATCCGAGCGTCGCGCTCTCGAAGGCGCAGGAGAAGTTCCAGGTGCCCGCCGGGAGCGCGAGCATGCCGCTCGCGATGCCCGAGAGCGCATTCGGGTGGAGCGCGATGCGCGACGTGTCCGGAAGCACCACCTCGTTCGGCGTACTTACGAAGCCGGAGTTCTCGTAGCTCCGCAGCGTGAGGCCCGCCGACGCCGGCGCGGCCAGCAGTATTGCGAACCACCACCAGCCGAAAGCCAACATGCCTGAGCGCAGGCGGGGTAATGCCGAAGCCATTATGTTCTACGCTCTCAGCTGAGGCAATTCTTCGGCGATCTTGAAGGCAAGGAACCCCAATGTTGAAGACGAACGCGACGCGTGTGAAGCGACGCCGCTCGGCCTCCCCCGCCTGCTGCTTCTGGAGGGGGATCGCTTTAACGGGCGCGTCGGAAAGGAGCGCGGGGCCTCGGGGCGAGGGGCCGCGGTCCGCGCGCGGGCGCGTCGATGGTCGCCTACATGCCGAGGATGGAGCCGTAGGTGCACTTGTCCGGCACGGTGCAGCCCGAGCGCTGGATGATGGTCCGCGCGGCGAAGTGGCCCGCCTTGACGCAGGCGTCGAAGTCCTCGCCGAGGATGAGGCGGCTGAGGAAGCCGCCGACGAAGGCGTCGCCGGCGCCGTTCGTGTCGACGATCTTGGCCTTGTCGAGCTTGGGCACGTTGTACTTGTGGACGACGCCGCCGTAGGCGACGAGGGTCGCGTCGGCGCCCTGGGTGAAGACGACGGCGCGCGCGAAGAGGCCCGACGCCTTGGGGAGCGCCGCGACCTTTAAAGCGACGGCGGCGACGTCGGAGCCCCAGCCCTTGGCCTCGCCCAGGGCCGCGGCCTCGGTCTCGTTGGCGAAGAGGATGTCGACGTGGGGCAGCGTCGCGTCGAGCTGCGCGCCGAAGAACTGCGCGATGAACGGCGCGGAGATGTTGAGGCAGAACCGCTTGCCGTACTCGGCGCAGTGCGCGCCGAGGAGCTCGGTGCACTCCGGGCCGCCGGACGTGAGGAAGAAGCCCGCGGAGTAGATGACCTTGGCAGAAACAATAAGCTTCTGCACGGCCGGTGACTCGAGGTGGTCCTTCTTGAAGTTGTTCGCCGCGTCGAGGCGCGTGACGAGCGTGCGCTCGTTCGACGGGTCCACGAGCACGGCGCAGACGCCCGTCGGCGTCTCGCCGTCCACCTGGTAGGCGACCTCGACGCCGCCGGCCTCGGCGCACTCCTGGAGCTTCTTGCCGTTCGCGTCGGACCCGACGCACCCGGCGAACGCGCACGCGCCGGTCCGGCTCGCGGCCTTGAGCATCCAGGCGCAGACGCGGATCGAGTTCTGCGTCGCGCCGCCGGCGATGTACTCGGGCGCGTACTTCTCCACGAGCTCGTCGTAGATGCCCGCGTGCTTGTCCTCGGCGAGGATGATGTCGCCGGACTTGACCTCGTACTTGTCGAGCACGTCCATGGGCACCTTCGACGAGATGTCGAGGAGCGGGTTGCCCACGCCGAGCACGAGGACGCCCATCTCGTTGTGCAGGTGGTCGGGGCCGATGGAACCGTCGGGCCTAAGGCAGGGGTTTGTTCAGCGCGACCGTCTCGTTACGGCCGAGGCGGCGGGCGAGCCGCGGTGGCCGCTTTTCTCGCGGTTCGAAGGCGCGACGGGTGCGTCGGGGCGGGCGCGCGGCCCGCTCTCGGCCGCGCGGGGGCCGCCGGCGCGCAGCTCGCTGCGCGCCGGCCGGCTGCCCATCGCCGAGGCGCGTGCGAGGCGCTTCGGCGATGCCACCGGAAAAACGCTTTCCGGCCAGCGCGCGACGCCGCACGGCGCATGAAGTGGCTCGGCGAGATCTCCTTCGAGCCCTTCCTCTCTACTTTCGGCGGTCCAAAAACAAACTCCATCGTTGGTGACTTTTGATGGACGGCGACGACGTACCTCGGTGGCGGCGCGGTTGACGAGGTCGGCTCGGCGATCCGTTGAGCTAGCGGCAATTCCCCGGCGCCGACGCGATCAAGTACGCGATCCCGACACACACCTAGGCGTCCGGGCCCGCGAAACTGAGAGGCGGTCGAGACCCAGACCCGCGTCTTTCGCACAACGCGCCGGCTTACCCTGCCGCCGCGATCTCCCTATTTGCACATGAGCGTGTCCCGCGTGTCCATGCCCGTCTTCGGGTTCGTGCCCTTGGCGATGGAGCAGAGGTAGGTGCGCTGGTCCTTGCGCATGTCGACGTCGGTCCAGTCCGTGTTGTCGATCTTCTTGAGGTCCTTGATGACGGCGCCGGCCATGTAGGCCTCCGTGAGGTCCGCGTTCGTGAGATCCGCGTTCGAGAGGTCGGCCATCTCGAGGTTCACCTGCTTCATGTCCGCGTCGACGAAGGTCGTGCCCGCGAGGTCCGCGTCGAAGAAGGACGCGCTGAAGAGCTGGGCTTTGTTGAAGTTGCACTTGCGCATGACGGACTGCTGGAACGCGACGCCCTTGAGGCTCTTGCCCTCCCACACCGTGTTGTCCAGGTTCACGCCGCGCGTGATGGCGATGATGCGCCCGGACTGGAGCGTGCTCGCGCCGCCGCCCTCGATCTTGCCCGCGCCGGCCTGGCGCACGGCCTCGCTCTGGCCCGCGAAGGCCGGAGAGGCGAAGAGGGAGGCGGCGAGCGCCGCCGCGCCGAGGCCCTGGAGGACGGCCGGCGCCGCCGGCGCCGCTCGCCTCGCGCGCGGCTTCGGCGCCGGCGCGAGCGCCGAGGCCAGAGCGGCGACGCAGACGAGGACGAGCGCGCGTCGAGGAGACGGAGCCATCGGAGCGCGGCGGAGTCAGCTCTGCTTCAGCTTTGCTTCACCTTTGCTTCAACTAGCCTCCTCGCAGGTGCGATGTCGGTGCTCGTCGTCATGTGCCTGATCCTGGCCGCGCAGGCCGTCCTTTTGGTCGTCCTGCAGCGCTGCGTGCCGCGGCCGACGGGCCGCGGCACCTGGCTGGCGCCGAAGACGAACGCGCCGAAGCGAGCCACCGAGCTCTGGTTTTTGGCCTACGCCGTCGTCTGGATCGGCGCCTTCGCGTGCATCGTGGGCTTCGAGTGGTACGAGCGCTTCGACGCTTTGGCCTACTTCCTCGTCTGCGGCGGCCTGGCGCTGCCGCTCTACGCGCAGCCGTTCCTGCTTCCCGCGCTCACGTACGACGAGCGCCGCCCGCTGGCGGAGCGGTACAGCTTCAAGGCCAACGTCTGGCTCGCCATCTTCGGCTTCGTGGGCAACTACTGGTACACGCACTACTTCTACTCCGTGCTCGGCGCCGCGTACACCATGCCCGCGTGGCGGCTCAACGACGTGCCCGTGGCCATGTTTTTCGCGACGCACTTCTACTTCTGCTTCTACCACGTGCTCTCGAACGCGGCGCTGCGCAAGATCCGCACGTCCTACGAGCCGTCGAAACGGCGCCTCGCCTTCGAGGCGGCGTCCATCGTCGCCATGTCCTACCTGACGGCGTTCATGGAGACGCTCACGATCAGCGGCTTCCCCTACTACAGCTTCGAGGACCGCGACATGGCCTACACCGTGGGCTCGGCCTTCTACGGCATCTACTTCCTCGTGTCCTTCCCCATGTTCCTGCGCCTCGACGAGACGCCGCCGACCGTCGTCAACGGCGCGACGCACGACCTCTTCGCGACGGCCGTCGAGGCGCTCGCGTCGTCCATGGCCGTGCTCTGCCTCCTCGACTTCGTCCGCCTCGCCCTCGGCATCCCCTTCGCCATGAAGGTCGCCGCGGCCTAGGGTTTATGTTCAGAGCTTCGTCGCGAGGACGCGGAGGAGCCGCGGCCGCTTTTCTTGGGACGGCGCGTCGTCGCGGGCCTCGGGGACGGCCGCGACGTCGTAGGGCGCGTCGCCGGCGTTGACGTAGCCCGGGCAGACGGGCCCGTCGAAGGGCACCGCCGCGACGACGGCCAAGCCCAGGGATTCCAGCGCGGCCTCGAGGTGGCCCTTCGCGAAGAACGTGATGTGGCCGACCCAGTAGGGCCGCGCGGGGTCGCTGCCCCACCACGTCGGCACGGGGTTCTCCAGCGGGATCTCGACGAAGAGGTGGCCCCCGACCTTGAGGCGCCCGCGCCACGCGGCGACCGCGGCCCGCGGGTCCGGGAGGTGCTCGAGCATCATCGACGAGAGGATGAGGTCCACGCTTCCCGGCGGGAAGTCGGCCGCCGGCGACGCCTCGAGCGTGCCCTTGCGCGCGTCGACGCCCCGCGACGCCATGAAGTCGACGGCCTCGCCGTCGAGCTCGAAGCACGACACCGCCGCGGGGAACGGCGCGCCGCGGCTCATCGCCTCGGACGACAGCGCGCCCCAGCCGCCGCCGACCTCGACGACGGACTCGAGGGCCGCGCCCGCGGGCAGGTGCCGCGCGACGAAGGCGCACTGGGCCTTGGCGCGGCGCGCGACGAACCTAGGAGGGGACGTTCGGCGGGGTCGAGGGGGGGGGGGGCGCGAGCGACGCCGGGACGCGCGGCGGGATGACCGCGTCGGGCGACAGGTCCCGGCCGTAGGCGTCGTTGTAGTCGACGTCGTAGAGCCGCGCGAGCGCCGCGGCCGACGGGGGCGGGTCCACCTGCGGAGGGGGTCCGTCTTCGAGTCGATTCGCCGGGCCGCGTCGCGCGAACATCGATCGGACGCGGCGCCGCGCGAACTGGACGCCCGTCTCGTGGTCCTCGACGATGTCGGCGTCGAACTGCGGGTGTCGCATCACGTAGCTCACGCTCACGTTGCGCCCCGTGACCGGCGACGGGGCGACGCGCCCCGCCGTTTTCAACTCATAGGCGTCCGCCTGTTTCTGCTCGAGGACGCCGCTCGAGGGCTCGAGCTCGACGGACGAAGGGCTCGAGAGGACGATCATGGCCAAGAGATGGCGAACAATTTTCTCGTTTTGGGAACGCGTTGGCGACCTTCTGTCGCGCGCCAACCACAATCGGCGAAATCCTCAGTCGGACCAAGAGCCGCCCGGGATAAAAGCCGCGGTACCTTACGACGGGCCCCTGCACGACGGTCCGGCCCCGGGACGGGGGCCGGGGACGGCGGGCACGGGGGTTCCGGCACGGTAAATGCGCTCCGGGCACGCGGCCCGGCACGGGCCCGGCACGCGGCACGGCACTCGGCACGGGCCCCCGGGCACGGGCCGGGCACGGGCCACGCGGCCCGGCACGGGCCCGGCACTCGGCACGGGCCCCGGGCACGGGCCGGGCACGGGCCGGGGAGGCCCGGCACGGGCCCGGCACGGGGCCCCGGGCACGGCCCGGGCACGGGCCGGGGACGTGGCCGGGGACCGCGGCACGCACCGTCGCGCAGGGGCCCCTCTTACGTCGGGTTCCTCGCTCGCGGGCCCGGCACCCACCCACCCACCTCCTGGCCAATCAGGGACCTCCTTTTCGTTAGTTGCCTTCAAGTTGCCGCTCGCAAAATCGCCACAACGCGCGCGCGATTCCGCGCGCGCGCTCTCTCGTGTCGCGGAGCTGCGCGGTCCAATCTCCGCTTTGCGATGAGAACGGGCACCCGCGCCGCTCGACTCGCCGCGGCGAGAAGCGGCGATAGCGGCGTGAAGACACGTCGCCGAGGCGCCGCGCGACCGTCAGCCGCGGCACTGCGGGTCATGACCGCGCGCGCGCGCGCGCGTTACAAGTACCCATCAGTACACTGTAGATTTTCCAAATCAGGCCTCCGGACCCACCCACCCACCTCGTCGTGAGGTTCGAATCTTTTGTCCGTGGGCGGCTCGTGGTCGGACAAGTTTTTTTTGCCACCTCGAGTGAAACTCGGGTGCAGTCGGACGGCTCCCTCGCCGGCCTACTCGATATGGCTTACACTGTAAGTTACAGGACGATGCGCCAGCTCGCCTCGGCGACGTAGAGCGCCGCCGCGTCCCGGGGGTAGAGCCGGTCGACGTCGCCCTGGCCGAGGAGGCTCTTCTCGGCGATGAGGTCGACGACGTGGCGCGCGTCGTCGTCGCCGCACGCGTCCGCGCCGTCGAGGAGGTCCTCGGGCCTGACGCCGCGGTAGGACCCGCTGTCGATGCAGTGCTCGAGGAGGTCCTTCCAGTAGGCCGCGGCGCCGAGGAGGCCCGGGTGGCCGACGACGACGCAGAGCGCGCGCGCGCGCGTCACGGCGACGTTGAAGCGCCGCGCGTCGAGCAAACCGACGGGCGCGTGGTCGGAGAGCTCGCCCTCGGCGAAGCGCGGCAGCTCGGAGAGGACCGTCGTGACGATGACGCACTTCTTCTCCGAGCCCTGGAAGTCGTAGATCTGCCCCACGGACACGGCGCCGAGCCCGCGCTGCCGCAGCAGCAGCCGGAGCTTCAGCGACTGCTTCCGGAACGCGCAGAGCACGCCGATGTCGCCGACGTCGCAGGCCACCCGGTCGGACGCGAGGAGCGACTCGACGAGCTGCGCGACCTTGGCGCACTCGAGCGCGTTGAAGTACGACGGGCTGTCGAGCTCGTGCGCGGCCGACCCGTTGACGCCCCAGCAGAGCAGCGCGGTCTTCTCCCAGCCCAGGAGCGACGCCGTCACGGCCTCGTCGGCCTTCGCCCGCAGGCTCCCGTCGTAGAAGAGCTTCGACGGCAGCGCGAGCAGCGAGCCGTGCGCGCGGTAGTTGTCGCTGAGCCGGACGACCTGCGCCGCGGCCGGGTCCTTCGCGGCGCGCTGGATGAGCCGCTCGAGGAGCGACGTGCCCAGGCCCTTGGACGCGGCGAAGGGGCTCCGCACGGCGGCGCCGAGCTGGTTCGGGTCGCCCGCGAGGACGACGCGCGTCGCGGGCCCGCACGTCGCCAAAGGCACGAGCGCCTCCGCCTCCAACGCCTGCGCGGCCTCGTCGATGAGGATGTGCGTGAAGGTGCCCCGCAGGCCGCCGCAGAGCAGCAGCCCCGCGGCGCCGCAGGTCGCCACGACGATGGCGTACTTGGCGACCTCCTCCGCCGCGGGCGCGTCGACGTCGCCGTTGCCGTCGACGCACGAATACCGGAGGATATCCAACGGCAGCGACGACGACTTGCGCTGCCACCAGTTGAGCCGCAACAGCACGTTGGACCGGTCCCCGACGACGGCCGCCGCCAGCCGCCGCGCGAGCAGGTCCGCGGCCTCGTCCGACGGCGCGCACGCCAGGACCCGCGCGCCCGGGTCCGATGCCACGAGGCGCCGGATGCCCTCGACGACCGTCGCCGTCTTGCCCGTGCCCGGCGGGCCGAAGACGACGAGGGGCGGCCCGCCGCGGCGCCACGTGCCGCGGCCCGCGATGGCCTCGGCCGCGAGCCGCTGCGGCGCGTTCAGCGGCGGCCGTTTAGGCCGACTTCCCTCGTACTCGCCGCCGCCGAGGATCCACGCCAGGCACGCGTCGAAGGTCGCGTGCTCGTCCAGCGCCGCGTCGCAGGTCGACGGCTCGAAGTCCATGGCCCGCAGCTCGTCGAAGACGGCGCCGCGGCGCCGCGCGGCTTCATCTAACGCCGCGTCGAGCTCCGCGACCGCGTCGCCGACGCCGCCGTCGTCGGGCGCCCGCTCCCCCAGCAGGAGGCGCTCGAAGGGCTCCGGGTCCCGCGCGACCTCGGACAGCGCGTAGTGGACGAAGCGGCTGCCCGCGGCCGACGGCCGGAAGCGCACGTGCCACCGCGTGGCCTTTGCCAAAGCCTCGTTCGACGCGAGGATGTCGGCGAAGGGCGACCGCGGGACGACTATCGTAATAGAGTCGAGGGCGACGTGCGCGACGACGCAGACGAGCTCCACGGGGATGGAGCCGAAGAACAAAGGCCCGTGGAGCGTCTCGCGGCTCGGCCGGAGCCGCGCGGCGTCCCCCACCACAATAGGCGGCCGGTTCCCCGCGGAAGCTTCCGAGAGGCCCATCACTTTGAGCGTGCAGCGCGCCGCCGCGAGCGTCGGCGCGTTCTGCGCCTGGTAGCTCAGCCGCTTGCCGCGCGGCAGCGCCGCGACGTCCCTCAGCTCGACGTCGTACATGTCCGTCGTCTCCAGGTCCACGGCCGTCGCCGCCTCCTCGAGCCACACGAGGCTCCGCAGGCGCGCCACGTGGTCCCGGAGCGCCGCGTGGGGGCCGTCGCCCAGCGCGCGGCCGCCGTCGCACCGCGCGGCCGCGGCCTCGGCGTCCTCGAGCGCCTCCTCCAAATGCTCGCCGCTCCGCGCCGCGGCGCGGAGCTTCGCCGGCGGCGCCAGGGGCGCGGCGTAGAGGAAGCGGTCCTGCGGGTCCTTCTGGGCCCAGTGGCCCGGCCCGTCGCCGCGGCGCGCGAGCGGCCGGAGCGTCGCCTCGGGCAGGAACTCCCAGGCGACGCCCTTGCCCGCCGGGTAGAGCACGGGCGGCTTGCGCTTCACGCCGTCGAGGTGCCCCCGCCGGCTCGCCGGCCGGCCCGTCGCGCCGTCGCAGAGCCGCACGGCGATGCCCCGGTGGCGCAAGAGCTCGAGCGGCTGCTTGCTCACCTTGCGGTCCACGAGAAAGACGTCGCCCGGCGCGTGGGCGTGGTAGGACGCGACGAGCGCGCCGACGTCGCCGCCGGCCGCGGCGACCTTCAGGAAGGACGTGGGCGCGCGGTCGAGGAAGACGTTCTCCGCCGGTAGGGCGACGATCTTGCACGCGGTCTTTATGGACTCCGCGCCCTCGGACAGCGCCCAGAGGCAGTAGTGGTCGATGCCGCCGCCGCAGGCCGCCCTCGAATCCTCGAGGAAGAGGGGGCGCACGAACTGCACGTCCTCGTAGACGTTGCCGATCGCGGGCATCTGCACGTCGAAGGTCCGCTTCACGTACTCGGGGACCCACGGCCGCGCCTCCGAGCTCAGGCTCTCGACGGACGCGACGAGGGCGAAGGTGTCGCGGCTCACGAAGGTGCACCGGCACCAGACGCCGAAGCTCGCCTCCTCGACGACGCGCCGGTTCGTGAAGGTGTCCGACTCGGACCGCGAGCACCGGCAGTCGACGAGGACCCAGAACCGCCGCGACCCGAGGTGCCGCTCGTCGTCGGAGGCGACCTCGACACTGAGTTCCAGCGGCGGACCGTCGGCCGCGTGCGCCCGCGTCGCGACGAGGAACGGCGCGCCGCCGCCGCCCCGGATTTCCGCGGACGCGTAGACGCCGGCCTCCGGCGGGACGACGCGCGCGCGGAGCGCCGTGACGTCGCCGGCGAGGGCGCCGCGCGCCGCGACGCGGAACGTCGACGTCGCCCGCTTGAGGCGCGGCGCCGGGGGCGGCTTCTTCGCCGGCTTCTTCGGATCGAGGTCGCCGTAGGGCGCGGGCGCCCAGTCGTCGTCGCCGCCGCCGCCGTCGTCGTCGCTCGCCTCCTCGCAGAGCACGTGGCCGAGGTCCAGCTCGCCGGGGCTCAGCGCGCACTCCCACTTGGGCGCCCGCAGCCACGCGCGGCCCTGGTGCGTCTCCACGTGGCGGCTGGAAGCCATCCAGAAGCTCTCGTCGTCCATGGCCGGCGCGCCGCCGGCGCCGCCGCCCGTCGCGCCCGCGGCGCTGCCGTTCGGAGGCGGACCCGGAATCGTTGTTGGCTGCTCGCCTGCTGCCCGCGGCCAGGGCAAGTGGCCTTTGCAGCAAAGCCCACCTCGGCTTCCTAGACAGGTCGGGCTGTCTCTTTAGCGAGTGCAATATCGCTTGCATGAGGTTTCCTGCTTCACAACATCGGGCAGCGGTCGCGTCCAGCGGCGTCGCGGCTGATTACAACCGCCTGGTTCGAAGTGCGATGGCGGAGGACCCGGCGCGGCGCCAGGCTCGGCCAAACGTGGCGGCGGAGGGGCCGTCGCCGAACTGCTACGTCCAGGTGCGCCGCGACACTTTCCTCCGCCGCGATGCCCCGACCGAACGTCCCGCGAAAGGGCTGCCCCGCCTCCCGCGACGCCGGCCGCCATCCGCGCGCGCGCGCCGCCCCCGGCCCGCCGCCGAACGCGCGACCCCCGCAGATGGAGCACGTGAGCGACAAGCTCAAGGTGCTCGACTGCCAGCAGCGCTTCTGCGCCGCTCGCGACCGGGCGCCGCTCGAGCGCTGGTGCTTCGCGGCGCCCGCGCGGAACCCGAGCATCCAGTTCATGCTCTTCCTGGACCTGTGCTCCTGGCTCATGGCGGAGATCACGGGCGACACGGGCTTCTTCCGCGTCGACAAGTTCGACGACCCGAACACGTCCGTGAACAAGTTGATGCTGGCGTTGCGGAAATTGGAATTCGGGTTGGACTTCCCCACCTCAAAACTCAAGCAGGCCCACGGCGAGGCGGCCGTGGGCGTGCTCGACTTCCTGACGGACCGCTGCGTGGAGAAGAACTTCCAGTGGCGGCACCCGGAGTACTCGGGCGAGGCCGAGGAGGAGGCGGCGGCCGACGAGGACGCGGACGTCGGCGGCGGCATCGAGGACGAGATCGAGGCCGTCGAGGAGGAGGAGACGCTCTTCAAGGAGAGCGCGCCGGCGGACGTCGAGGAGGACGACCCGGCCTACAAGGCGCAGCACGAGATCCTGAAGAGCGGCATCGACCCCCTCGTGTGGCAGACGGAGCTCGAGCGCGTCGGCCCGCGGCTCCGCGTCGCGGCGGCCGCGGCGGGGGGCAAGGAGTGGCGCGCCCACATCGAGCAGACGAAGCTCAACGAGGAGAAGATCCGCGAGGTCATGCCCGCGACGGAGAAGCAGCTCAAGGCCATGGGCGAGCGCGTCTCCGACGCGCGCGACAAGATCAATCTGAAGGAGAACTACATCAACAAGCAGTTCGAGCACGACAAGCAGTCCTACGCGACGCTCAAGCAGGAGCTCGACGCCGTCGAGCGCTCCTTCAACGAGTCCACGGAGAACGTGAACAAGCTCACGAACGAGCTCGGCGGCATCGCGGAGCAGCTCGACGAGATGAAGGGCACCATGGCCGACCGCGGCAACTCCATGACGGACACGTCGCCCCTCGTCCAGATCAAGCAGGCCCTCAAGCAGATCAAGCAGGAGGTCGTCACCTTCGACCTCCAGATCGGCGTCGTCGGCCACACGCTCATGCAGCAGAAGCTCCGCCACGGCAGCCCCAACACGAACGGCAAGGGGTTCAAGATGCGCGGCAAGCAGAACACGGACTCCGTCGACTTCGAGGACGAGTCCGACATGGAGAGCTTGTGAGCGTGGGCGGGACGCGCGCGCGCTAAAAGCATCATGTCATCATGAGTCAAACTTTGGCTCCTTGCCCCCAGCGCTCCTTCTTTCTGAGGCATGGACGACGCCGACTCACCGCGGGACGACGGGGGGTACGCCCCGCGGGGCGCGATGGACATCTTCCCCGACCTGGAGATGTCCCCGGTGCGGGACGAGGGCTGCCCGCTCGAGCCCGGGGTTTGCCCGCTCGAGCCCGGGGGCTGCCCGCTCGAGCCCGGGGGCTGCCCGCTCGAGCCCCGAGACGCCCCCGGCTCGGAGTGCGGCGCCCTCGTCGTCTGCCCGATCGGCGCGTACCAGGATGAGGTCGCCGCGGCGCGGATGCGAGACGTCTTCCGCGGCGGCGGCGACGACGACGGCTTCCCATCCTTCGGAGACGACCGCGGCGACGGCGCCGCGGCGTCGTCGGCGCTCGTCGAGCGCGGCGCGGCGTCGTCGGCGCTCGTCGGCGCGGCCCGCGCGCGGGGCCCCGGCCGCTGGCGCCAGGCGTCGTCGCGCGACGACGGCGCGTCGCTCGTCGGCGCGGCGCGCGCGCGGGGCCCCGGCCGCTGGCGCCAGCCGCCGCGCGGCGGGGCCGCGCCGTCGCCGCGGCTGGGCCTCCTCGAGACGCTCGTCGGGTCCCTCGAGCGCTGGCGCGGCCAGGACCTCGTCGACACGGACCCGCGCGTCGGCGCCGTCGCGGACACGCAGCGCCTCCGCCTCGAGGCCGCCGCGTCCGTCGCGGGCGCCGCGCCCGGCCGCGTGCGGCCCGGCGCGGGACCGCTCGGCCGCGCGACGGCGTCGGTGACGCTCTCCGGGTCGCACGACGAGCTGCTGCGGACCTACGCCTTCCGCGGCGGCCGGCGGCGGCGGCCCATGATCGTGCTCGCCGTCGACGACCCGTGCCTCGAGCGCGCGCTCCGCGAGTACGTCGACGCGCACCGCGCCTGCGAGGAGCTCGGCTGCGACGTCGCCGAGCGGCCGCGGCTCGTGCTCACGACGGAGCGCGCGACCCGCGGCGACGTGGACCACCTCCAGCGCCAGCTCCGGCTCCTCGCGAAGCGCGCCGCCGTCTCCGGCGACGCGGCGCTCCGCGCGGCCGTCGAGGGCGTCTTCCTCACGGACCCCTCCGCCGTCGTCCGGGGCGTCGCGCGCGACGTCTCCCAGGACCTGCTCGCGGCCGTCGTCAAGTCCGCGGCGCACACGGGCCACCGCCTGCTGCGCCACCTCGCGGCGCGCGACGAGACGTTCACGATCCGCGTCCACCGCGCGTCGGGCGGCGACGCGTCGCCCGCGCGGCGGCGGCGGCTCTCCGCGTAATCACAGGCTTAGAAACAGGTCGGGGGGGACAATCAGGCCGGGTGGGGGACAAGGTCGAGCTCGGGAGTCGCCGCCGCTCACTCGAAGGCGGCGTCGTCCATGGCATCGTCTTCCAGCTTGAAGTAGAAGGACGGCAGGAGCTCGCGCGCCTCGATGCACTTGGCGAGCCAGTGCCGATCGACGCGGTCCGGGCCCTCGGGGACGTCCTCCTCGGCCTCGGCGAGGACGTGCGTCGCGGCGGCGGCGTCGGCGCCGGGCTCGAGGTGGGCGCCGCCGTAGATGCGGATGCGCGAGTGGAGGCCGCACGTGTACGGCGTGAGGAGGACGACGGCGCCCTTGAGCGCGCGGCACGACAGCCTGAGGCCCGCGGTCGCGAGCACGGCGTCGACGTCGACGGGCTCCGTCAATTCGTCGAAGAACCAGTCGCCGCCCCGCTTCCGCGCGTCCCGGGCGTGGGCCACGTCCAGGGCGAGGTCGCCCGCGGTGATCTCCCCGCGCACGCGGTTGCCCCAGACGGGCTCGAAGTCGCGCTTGAGCCGCGCGACGTCGTCGTCCGACGGCCGCGCGAGGAAGTCGCGCGGCCGCGGGTCGAGCAGCTCGTCGGCGGCCATGGACTGCGCGGCCCACGTCGCGTCGAGGACGCGGACCCGCCGCTTCCTCGCGTAGCCGTTGAGCTGCGTGCCGTCGCGGCCGCGCGCGCCGAGGACGTAGTAGGACGTGGCCGCGCCGTCGTCGGGGTCGAAGTTGGGAATGTGGGCCAGGACGTCCGCGCCGCGCTCCGCGAGCTTCGTCCGCAGCGCGGCGTAGTTGAGCTCCCCCGTCCAGGCGTCGGGATCCTCGGCGTCCAGCTCGACGGGCGGCGGCGGCGCGCGCGCGGCCGGCAGGACGACGAAGACGGCGCCGTCGAAGATCTTCGTCTTGTCCGACTCGGCCGCGATCTTTCCCAGCGCCGTCCGGTCGACGCGCGCGTCGCTGCGGACGCCCACGGGGACGCGCGGGCGCTTGCCGCCCTTCTTCTGCTTGCGGCCGCGGCCGCCGCCGACGGTGATGACCTGGCGCGGCCTCGCAAAGATGTCCTTCGCCTGCTGCACGACGTCGATGTCCGCGGCGCCCTTGTCGTGGCGGATGCGCTCGACGCGCGGGAAGCGGAACGTGCACGGCACGGAGAACTGGTCCGATTTCACGAGCTCGCCGCACTTGATCTCGAGGACGACGGACTTGCTCACGTCGCGGACGATCTTGTCGGGCTTCTCCTCGCCGCGCGGGTCCCAGCCGGGGTGGAAGTAGGGCGGCAGGTCCGAGGGGTCGTAGCCGACGAGGTTGTCCTTGAGCTGCTCGTTGATCTCCGTGAGCTGCTGGACGCGGTAGCCCGTGCCGATGCGGCCGAAGGTGTAGTACGCGCCGTCCTCGTCCGCGCCCGCGGACTTCCGCAGGGCGACGACGAACTGGCTCAGCTGGCCCCGGCGGCCGTGGCGCATGGCCTCGCTCCAGTAGCCGCCGACGATGACGCAGTCGAGGCGCGGCACCTCGCCCTCGTTGCCGTACTCGGGCTTGAGCTTGACCCAGAGCTTGAGCTTCTTCGTGAAGCGGCCGATGCAGTAGGGCGCGTCCAGCGCCTTGACGATGACGCCCTCGCCGCCGATCTCGACGACCCGCGCGTAGTACTTGAGGAGCTGGTCCTTGCGCTGCTCGGTCGAGAGCCGCGGGTCGTCGATGACCTTCGACCGCACGAGCTGGATGCGCCGCGGCACGCGCGTGCCGTCGGTCCGCTCCCGGCCCGGCTTCGCGCGCTCGCAGAGGCGCTCGAGGATGGCGCGCCGCGTCCGCAGGGGCAGCTCGCCGACGCCGCCCTCGGGGACGGGCGCGCCGTCGGCGCCGGCGCCGAGGATCTCGCGCGCCGCGCGGCCCGAGACGTGGAGCACGTCGAAGACGACGTAGACGAGGCGCACGGCGGCGAGGTCCCGGCGGTCGAGGCCGTGGGGCATCTCCCCCTCGTCGTTGGCGACGGCCTCCAGGACCGCGTCGACGATCTCCTCGTCGTCGGCGGTGTCGTCCTCGTACGGGTCCTCGGCGCCGCGCTTCTTGCGCGCGTCGATGAGCGCGCGCTCGTACTGCGCGACCTTTTGGTTGGTCCCGAAGTTGGCGAAGGTCTGCGTGCGCAGGTTCAGCGACACGACCTCGCCGTCGACGACGCACCTGTCGAGGCCGTCGCACATCGCGCGGATCTCCTCGCCGAGGCCCGTGACGCCGTAGGTCGACGTGTAGTTGCTGCAGTTCCGCGTCCAGAAGGAGACGTCCGCGCCGTTCTTGTGGACGACGAGCCGCTCGCCGTCGAGCTTGAGGTCCGCGAGCAGGCCCGGCGCGCCGCCGCCCTCGGCGAGGCCGTGCTGCCGCGCGGCCTTGGCGATGTGCGAGATCGCGCTCGCGACCTGGTCGTCGGTCTGGGCGTCGCCGTGCGCGAGCATGACCTGGAAGGGCTGGCCCGGGTCGACGTCGCAGGGCGGGAGCGACCCGCGGCGGCCCGTCGCCTTGAGGCGGCCGGGCCCGCGGAGCGCGAAGTCGCCGCAGGTCGTCCGCAGGGAGCTGCAGGCCGCGTAGCGCTCCATGGCGTCCGGGTGGAGCATCCAGAAGACGGGCCTCTCCTTGAGCCGCAGCTTGAGGTCGCCCAGAATCACGCGCGCGAGCCACTTGTGCTCGACGGGCGACAGCTTGTGGTAGACGTCCTCGAAGAGCGCGTGGATCTTCTTCCGGTGCAGCGCGACGCCGTCGAGGAACGCGTGGACCTCGCCGAGCGTCAGGCTCCCGCGCTCGATGTTGAGGCGGCTCTTGAGCACGTCGCTGAGGTTGCCGCCGAAGTCGCCGCCGACGCACCGGTCGCGCGCCTCGAGGTCGCCCGCGAAGTACTTGAGCGTCCGCGCGGCCTCGTTGGTCATGGGCGCGTCCTTGAGGTGCGCGAGCTTCAGGTAGATGTTCGACAGGATCTTGATCTTCACGCCGAAGTTCCGCCGCCCGTTGTCGCTGCTCACGAGGAGCAGGCGCACGATCGGGTACGACGACTGCGCGCCGATGGTCCCCACGATGAAGTCGTCGAAGATGATGTCGATCCGCGCGTCGTTGCCGTTGACGGACTCCGCGCGCTCGAAGCGCCGGGCGATCTCGTGGAACGGGAGCGCGTGCAGGTTGCTGCACCGCTCCCACTCGGGGAGCTCGGCGTCGGGCTTGTCCGGGTTCATCTTGAAGCCGCTGCAGTCGCTCGCGCCGTTCGCGGTCCGCTTGCCGGAGAAGAAGTAGCCGCCTCGCTTGCCAAACTTTTTCCGACTGAGCTGCTGGGGGCCGTCGTCGTCGGCCATGGTAGTGTCGGGCTTTGTGCGTGCGCGAGCGGCGGCGCGCGCGCGTTCAAACGGATGTGGGTGGTTTTCGGTGTGTTTTGTTGAAGGGTTTTTTGTGTGTGTGGGGCGTCGACGGACGTGGTATACGAGCTGCGGCGGACGGCGCGCGAAGCTTCGTGCGAGAGCTCCGCAGGTCCCGCGGCCGAGATGCGGCGGGGCATCGTGCCTTTCGAGGTCGTC